TTCCAACCTTAAATATTCTATGATTCTATGAACATTAACTTCAGCCATGCTTTTGCTTCTGCAGAACCTGTTCTAGAAGATGCTCTTTCCTCACCACTCTGCACAAAATAGCGTTGGAATTTCTGCCCACGTTAATAGTCACGAGACAACTTACCCTAAAATCTTACCCTCATTCATTTTCCTCAGAGATGAACTGTCTGTAATAAATCTTTTCTAAAAACAGTCTAAATAAATAAGTAGAAGATCTTGTTTTCCCACTGCTGGTTATATATATGATACATAAAGCTGCAAAGTACGAAAAGGACTTTAGTAACAAAAGATCTACAAAGTTAGTTTACCAAATGGATAAAGCAAGCAATTTCTACTTGTGATTAATACAAAGAAAGTCACAATACCCTCCTTCTGTAACATTTACCTACACAAGTTCAGGGAGCTAACTGACTGCATTTCCCAGCTGTTGGCACAAAAACATCTGTATTCTGTTTGAAAGTAAACTGATGCAACACTTAAGCAACATGCTTATTTACTGGGCATATACTCAGATCTCTTAATGCTTCCACCAGCACTGCTTTTATTCTCTGTGACGTGATTTTAAACCAAGTAATGCCATGGTTAGTAATGCACTAGTTACATCATGTATTATTTGCCGTTTACTTACTGCATGACAGTTCCCCATGTGGAACGGAGGAAATTCTACCCAGTAACTTCATGCCAACCAATGTATGATCCTGGCACAGCTTAGCAAGCTGTAGGAATGCCTGGCTGTCAGCTGCAGGGTTCAAAACCTGTTTCTGTCCTGTGTCCACAGAGAGAGAGTTATGTCATAAGTGCTAATGGTTCAGGAGAGATGAGCGATGTTGATAGAAAAAAACCCAAACAAACCAATATAACTTCATCCAGACTGACTTAGGACTTGGAAGTACAATTCTAAGGACACTTTTGATGTTACTGCTTAAACTGAAGAATCAGATCCTACTTCTTTGCCAGTTGAATCCAATGAAATCCTACTGAACCAACCATATTGCTACTGTAATTACACCTATAATTTCACAAATCCAGTAGGCTGCTGCTGGTGAAAAAAGAACATTTTCCTCTTCCTTACACAACACAATTCTAACCCGCCCCTTGCAGCAGCTCTGATTCATACTCTTCCATGAACCACTTCAACTCATGAACTCAACAGAAAACTCTTTCTTTTGTGGATTTGTTTTCTGCTGCGTTCGTAAGTTGAGTCTTCTGAAGGAGGTGCACCAAATCATCTGAGCTAACCAGGTGAGCTGGCGCAAGGGGAGCAGCGGGACTGAGGGGGAGCAGCGGGACTGAGGGGGAGCAGGGTGGGAGACAGCAGGAGCAGAGGAGTCTCACGAATCTCCATCCGATGGCTCACTGCTTCTCGTGGAACTTTGTTGTTAGTGCTGTGGCAAAGAGGAAGTGACTCAAATAGAAAAGTCCCCCCAGATAAATGCCTGCTGTTTTGAGGAGCATGCCTCATTTCACAAAGTCAAAAAAAGGGGAAAATCTTTTGGCCATGCTTTTCACCAAGAAATTAGCATGAGTCTTTCCAAGTCAGATGATGGGGGGCTGCAAAGATCACAATTAAAACCCTCAAACAACCCTTTTTTTTTGAAAACTATTAAATTTACATCCAGAAAAAATAAACCCCACTGGACACAAAAATAACTAAAAATAAACATTTGTATAAAACCTTATATAAGGTATATAAGGTTACAAACCTTACCCAAGAGCTGTCCAAACATTACTGGCTATAATCAGCACTCAAATATCTTGAGCGCCAGGACTGTTTTTCAGATACACACATACCCCACTTACAAACCAAAAATGCTAAAATACAAGATCAAGCCTCTTTACTACCTTTCCCTTCTGAAGATGCCAATAATTCCTGCGTGATTTCTTCAGCCACTAGCTCTGCCACAGTTTCAGGCTGGAGCCCCTGCGTGGTGATGAATGCCTGAGCTTTCCTGCACCTGTCCAGCTGACGGGACGACAGAATTGCTCGAAGCACTTTTTCCGGGTCGTGGGCTGACATTTCGCTGTAGGAGCAGTTCAATTCCTAAGAAACACACACACACGCTTAGGAGATTCTACACAGCAAAAATTCCAGTCCAGAACATATATATTGACTTGTAGTACATCTTCTTAATGGTGAGCTGATGCAAGAGGGGAGTGCTGGAAAAGCAGACAAAACTCCGTTTCAAAAAATGCACCCATAATCTGTCCTCCTATCAGTTAACAGTGCCTTCAACTGTATATCTTCAGCATTAATGTTCTCCAGACCAGGATGGGAGGTGAGTACTTTGTATTTGGAGTATCACAGAGCTGTCGCCATGGACAGAGACACTTTCCTGAACTGAATATAAACCTTAACACTTACAATACTTAAAAGAAAGACAGAAATATTTCTTCCCAAATGAAGAATTGTGGTTTATTGCATAAGTTTTACTTATGAAGTTCCTTCTCCTCTTCTCTACATACTACAAACTCTCAGTGAAAAAGATATACTAGTTTCAACATTTGCTACGTTTGGAAGAGGAGTTAGTGAGGCTCTGTAAATACTCTGCTGTAACATATTACAACTTTAAAATTTTACCTATTAATTGGCAAATGTACCTCATGAACACAATGATCACCTCTTAATTCAAAAGTATGGACATCCAGCTTCAGGCAAGAAGCAGACGGATGGTATAAAAGGAACAAGCCAGTCATATGACTACTCCTGAGTCGTTCAAACCTAAAGCACTCACTCTGAACATTCGAGGCATGAAAAATTCTGTAGGAAAATCTAAGAACCTCTATGATAAAGACGATACTAATATATTCAGCACACACACTGCTATTTTTATTCAGAAAAAAATAATGCTCCGTTCCAAAAATACGGACCAAATACTATGGAAGGGGGTTCTGTACCCTGAAAGAAGTGTTGAGCAGCAGCCTCTGGAGAAGGAGCAGAGGTGGGCTGCTGGCAGTCATGAAGGTCAAGGAGCAGAGAGGCAGCAAACAGCAATCTGCTACTTCTCCTATCAGTGTCTGGGTCAAACCACTTGGAAGTTATTAGCCACTCCTCCAAGCAGCCTCTGCGTACAGAGCTGCTACTGTGTGGAGCCTGCAGAGCACTTCTGTGCCTAAACTTCTAAGGCAGCTGCTATCTCTTTGTCTACTTCTGGGTTGGTGGTGATTATGAAGGCATCCCACAACAAAGGTCTAAAGCAAAGTGCTAGATGAACAGCACATGCTTGAAAGATTATAAAAAGGGCACATCAAAGGGACACAGGCTGAAATCTGGCTTAGTGGAGTCAGAGGTAGGGGCCTGGGGAGTCTAGGAGCTGAGTGCATGTCAACACTTCACGCCTAGGAAGCATCTGGCCATTTTTCCACACAGAGGCTTGGTAATTTCACCCTCTGAAGCTGGGTTCAGGCACCCGATGAGCAATTTCACCACTCTTTATCCTTTTCTCCACAAACCTCCGCAGCACAGCTTGATACAAAACATTCAGTAATGTTACTAGACACACACCTTAGAAAGTTCATACAGACAGAGAACCTGTCTGCAGTAGTTTCTCCCATGGACACATTCATCTATGAGAGCCTTCAGACTGACAACAACCTGATCATCTGGAGATGGAGCCCCAATGTGTGTCCAGTCTTCTAAGCTTGATGCTGGAAACAAAAATACTGTAAGTTCCTTTCTCATAAAGACAGATATCACCAACAAGCCCTATACTTGGAGCAACACTCCAGAAATCTGTAGCAAATACATACTACTTTCTGTCTTTGAAAACTGAACTCTTGATACCTGTGATAATTATATTTATTTATTTATTTAAGTTTTAGGGTACAAACAATATGACAGAACACAAATGAGCCAAAATATCCACAATAATATCTCAGATGTAAAATTCCTAATTGTAAGAGAGCATAAGGGTCTTTCTGATGGCTTAGGCTTCATTTATTCTTTTCTATTCCTATTAAGCTTTATATATGCTAGTATTAGAAAGTAACATTCCAGCTGACAGCTTTCTCATTCAGACTTCATAAATATGCACAGAGTACTTTATATATAAAACATTGTCAGCCTTAGCCTTGCTATTAATAAGAACCTAAACTCTTATAGTGTACAAAGAATTCAGAGAAATATACTAATTAAAGCCTTTCCACGTTTCAGCTCCAGAAAGACATTAAAGATTTACTAGAGTGTGTATTCCAAAAGCAGGAACGTGGATGAAGCTCAGTGTTACTTCACTGGAACAGTTGTGAACTATAAAAAAAATGAACGGTTAAGAGACTATCGAAGCTGTATACAGAACCATCCTGCCCGAAGCACAAACAAGCAATGCACTACAAGGCTTCAAATTCCTTTCACTAGAGGATTAATGAACCAAGGAGACAACCCGCTGTCATGCAGACCTTATTTCCTGCAGAAGTTTTGGGGGAAATTAACACGGCAACAACAGAGGAGGAATCCAGGGGAACCCCAACAATGGTATTACCTGCCAAGTGGCCGAATCGGTTAGTGTTACTTACTGCTCGGGGCTCTGCTTTGCTGAGATGTACTGCTTTCAGATCTCTTCTCTCTTGCTCCAAGGAGAGTCTGAATATCTGTGTGTAATTTGTCTAGATCAGTGTCCCCTGAGGCCAGAGCCCTGCAATGCAATACCAGTGAAACATCTCTGTTGTAGAAACGGAAATACTGACACACGCGGCTGGCTTCATGCACGCTTCCTTCATCAAGAAGGCATCCAATCAAAAACTTGAGTGATTCCTCCTCATCATTAGTCAAGGTCTGTGGAGACTCTCTGATTGCAAGACCCTCCAGTTTTAAGTACTGTGGTGTGTTCAGAGCAGGTAGCTTTGAAAAAGAAAACTCCTTAGCTAAGTTATCAAAGGTAAGATCCCTGTTCACTACAGCATGGGAGGAAAATCTTGTCTTGCCTGACCCCTCATCTGTAGATAACGTTTGCTGTGCGATGCGACAAATCCAGATCTGCTTCTCTATTTCTCCTAATTTGTCCAGTGACACCGAGTCATTCTTGGCTAGCCAATGGCCAGCTAGGGGAAGCAACAAATGTCTCTCCATAATGCTGTTTATCTTCTCATGAGCTGAAGAGTCAAACGCTGTGTTTGCCTGATTAAAAAAAAAATCGGATGCAGCTTTGCTGGAGATTGAATTTTTCATGAAGTTGTCATTACATTTTTTCCAGAATTCAATTCTTGTCTGGTGTTGATGCCACTGTCCGATGTCTCTTAAACGATGTAGATCTCTTAGAACCTGCAAAATTCACAGAGGTTTTAAACAACTATCTTTCCAGAAAAGAAAAATCCCACTGGATGGCCAGTGGGCCATACTGGAAAACTGAATTTAGATTAAGTGTCCCAATATGCAACAAATCCATCAATTTTTCTCACCAAATAAAACTGATTGTATAGCAAGTAAAAACAGTAAGAGAATAAGAAAAGCCACACTGTTCTTTTCAGCTCAGCGCTGACAGTCAACTTGTTTAGTGTACTTGTAATTAAAATAAAAAGTGATTTAAAGAAAAAATTGTGTTTCAGGAAGACTGAGAAGTACCATTCTCATACTGCCAGCAATAGGAGTATTAAGAGGTGAATATTGTTATTTAACTGTACTGTACCTCTTGGGTAACTACATTGTCCACAGGCAATTCTGCTAGTGCTGCTACCTCCCGAGCCAGGGAGAACATTCCTTTCTCCTGCAGCTGCTCCAGAATTGATCTGCACTCGCTCTGAAATGTCTCCATGTTGTAACTGGTTAGGATGGAGCGATTAATTGATATGGAGGAATCCTTCAGGGTCTCACTGAGTGCACACAGTTTCTTCACGTAAGGGCCTGTTTTAAAAGAGTATAAACAATTAAAGGCAGCTGGGTTTTAAACCTGAGGAAATTCTGCTACTTACTTCAGCATGCAACCCTGCCAGAGAAGGAGCACAGATTTTACACTAAAGCTTTCATGGGACTGAAAATGAGCTCTAAATCCATAACTAAAATACTTCTGTAGATAATCTGTGCACTCCTCATCAATGCCTGCACATAATCATTCTCCCAAAATGACTTACACACAGTTACATTTTCACCACTGCAATTCACCATAAGGACCAAGTCCGGTTATATAAATTCTTATACAAAAATAAACCAGTATGAACACACTTAAAGTAAACATTTTCGGTCACTCCAAAAACATTGGATGTGGCCTTTAGTTTAAAGCAGTAATATCATTTAACAGAGGAAGCTGTATTTACCATTGAGTAGAAGGTTATCTGCTGCAGAAAACAGCTGTAAGAGTTTTCCTAATTCATATTCTGTTCTACATTGCTGCATCATCAATTCCAGAAGGAACAATGCTTGTGATTCCAACCATGGCACAGGTAATTCTGAGGCTGCTGCTTCTTCTTCAGTTTTAAGCTGTGTAGATAAAGATTTTCATGTGTTGGGTTTTTTGTTTTTTGCAAATATATTCTGCATTTTGGTGGGAATCGCAGTAGAAATGGAAGGTGTACCAGATCTACCTCCTTCTTTAAGAAAATATTAAGTGCCCTTCCCAAGGGGGCACTGATCCATCACTGATGTATGTTTGACTTTGATCTGAGAGTAGTAAATTTTATGACAGGGTGACCATCTACTACTCCTGATAATCATGGAAGAGATAAAAGATGCAAGAAGGATCAGAAACAGATGGATAAAATAAATTGCTAGATGAATAGCTCTTGTCATACAGCTGTATACTTGATAAGCATATCCACTATGTGAGTGGCACATAGGGAAGGGAAACTGATCTAGCCTTGGCTTGAATTGCAGGAAGGAAAACACTAATGACAGGGAATCTCAGTTACCAAGATGTTCAGGGAACTAGAAAATTGTGATGGAAGGAATTGAAATAATTTGTAAAAATATCTATATGTGACAAACAAGGAACACTGCATGAAAACACTTTAGTCCTCTTAAAACCAACTGCTACATCAGTGTTTTAATCGAAGTAATTCAGTTCACTGAGTCGTTTTCAAAGAGAAGTCTACACAACTACCAAAACTAAAGCAATATCACAGACGCTTGCAGAAACTTTGAAACATATTCAAAAAAGTTGTCTGTCTTAAACAGATATTCCCTGTAAGTCACTGCTTTATCAGCCCTGGTCAGTAGAAAATAGAGAATATCCCACACTTACTCACCACAAATAATTCAATTTACGAACAGTGGTCCTACTTGAGTCAATGCCAACCTTCAAAGAGTAAACTGCTCACACAAGGATGACATTCTATTTCAATCTGCCCATATCAACTTAAACCAAAATGATTTAGAAAGCTGCATTGTGGGTTCTGGATTGTCAAAAACATTTTTCCATCAACTGCCAGCAATAAAAAGAATCTACTGAAACCTACTGCTTCACAAATCAGCTCCTAGGTCATTCTAAGCATAGCCTTTTTTCAGTATTTTCATATATGACATTACATGCTGATCACATTCTAAGAAGGGAAGACCTAGGCAATGACATTTAGAGAAAATGAATTTGCTTACTTTTGTGAGACTTTCTTGAAACTTGTCCAGTTTGGTTTTAGCTTCATTGTATTTTTTACAGTTCATACATAGTTCATACATCTCCAGTATATACAGTAAAGGGGAATCCTTTAAGACACAAAAATAGGTTATAATTCTTTCCTAAAAATGCTTCAATAAATGTAGAATTTGTCTTTCTCAGTATCAGAACAATAAAGTTCTCATTTATTAAAACTGCATGCAAGGCTAATATATGATCTGCAAATTTGTAACAGTTGGAAGGACTTCCATTCAAAGACTTTCTTGGATCCAGGATTTTCAGAGGATTACACCCAGGTTATCCAGGCCACAACTAGCAAGACAGAGGAGGAATCTAGCCATCTCCTCTCCAAGACAATCTGAGATACACTCAAGTATAAAGACATTACACTACAAAGACATTACCTTACCTTTAAAAAGAGCTGGAAGCCATTTAGAAGTGTTTTACTTTTTTGCTTTCTTAAAAAGACTTTCCAGATAACCGACAGGTCATGAAGATCCCACTCGTGATTTTCTGCTGAGCTCTGAATATGGTTTGTTGCTTCAGCTCTGGTAATATCATCCACAGTAGTAATTATCCAAACACAGAGACAATGAATAATGTTTGCATCCTATCAAACGACAAAAATGATGGTTTTATAATAACCAGAGACAAACATCACCTCATTATGTATCACTTGGCCAAATGTGTCATACTATTCACAATTACTAAAAAAAAGGAGAAAAAACCTTGATGAATGCAACCTACATATCTACCATTTAACATAGTTACTTATTCCTCCACAAGATAAATAACTTTGTCAATACTCACTTGGAAACATGCTGCTAAAACACTCAGAATGGGAGCGTGCTCTCTCAATCCTTCAGTCAAAAGGTAAGATGAAGGGTTGGAGTTCCCCTGGCACTGAAAAAGGATTTGAAAGAGACTATCTGCATATTTGCTCTTGCACATGCTGGCAGCACTGTTTGCAGGACTCCCTGCAGCAGGACACAACAATGGCAACTTCTCCAATGCCAACATCAAGTGATCTTGTAAAACAGGAGAGAAATCTTGAAGGATAGAAACCACCTAGGGAAACAGAACCAAAAGCATCTATACAGACTGAGATCCAATGAGAACGAGGGGGAAGAAGGACTGGAGCATATAAATACACAGAAAAGACAAATGAAACATTCTTCAAATTTGATTTTTTAGAATGTTTTTGGAGACCTAGAGAAGAAAAAGTGTTCTGTAGGTTTGAATTATTCTAATAAAACATTGAGGCTCATCCTTTAACATGAAGCTAAAATGCCTCTTAGAGACACTCATTTTTGGCATATCTCTCGTACTGCTACCAGCATATCATGAAAAGCATCTAGTTAGTTGCTGTTGTGTAATTACATATTTTTCATTTCAAGAAAACAACGAAGAGATCCAAGTTAAAATCCTAGGTCTGGAATTTTCCAGTTAGCTTATTCACATTACTTTTCCCAAATTGCTTTTAATTCTTACATATTGGTAATATTTTATTAATTTTTAAATTTCATACAAAATTAAAAATGGAAGATTTACATTCTCAAAAGTTTAAGTGTCTTTACACAAAAATTGATTTAAGTTTTGAAAGGAAAGATGAGTGGCTTTATTAAAACTTACACTGAACATATGGTAACCATTCAATTAAAAACCCTCAGTAACTAAATGATTTTAAAAACCAAATTAAACTTACAAACAGTATGTCATAATATTAACTAAATTTAAAATGAAAACTAAGTCCCTTCTTGACAAATACTTTTGTGTCCAATTCACTTCAAAGAGACACTCAAATCACTCCTCTCTGAAAACTGTTTTCTCCACTACTGATAAATAACAACCCGTAAGATTTTTCAAACAGCGAATTTTTTTTCCTCATCTTCTTTAACAGTTGGTTTTCATGCTCTGAGAAGCGTATTACTCTATCTGCTGAACAGTCAGCTTCCTCTGGAGTCAATTTCCTTTGTCTCTGTTAGCTTTCCACATACCAGCAGGGAAAGAAAGTAGAAAAGTTGGGAAATCCAGTTGTATGAGAAGCGCTATCATAATCAGAGCATATCGAGCAGTCTGAGACCACTTCTAACTCCCTGGAAACTGATGAGGCTTCAATTTTATGTTGTCTCCACAATGTGATATTCTCTTGTTAAAAGAATCTATTTTTTCCTTTTTTTTTTTTGAACATCACGGACAAAGCACATTCTTGCTAAGATCCATCTTCACTTAAAACCATACACAGATACACAGATAGCTTACCTCATCTGGCTGGTAGCTGTACAGCTGGGTTTGGATGATGAACTGCAGCCAGTCGTTGGATTTGGCACATTCCTTCAGGTAAGATGTACTCAGTCCAAGTTTATGGAGTTTACAGAACTGCATTACCAAAGACCACTGCCTTCTAGAGTCACTAGACGTCCTGCATGGAATTTCAAGAGCTTCAGCTGTAACAAACTGGTATTTATACCAGATGTTAATGCATAAACTCATCATGTGGCCAGAGATCCACTGCCTGCAAACGGCAACACCAGCACTTCCACTGACTTCACTACAGGTGAGGTCACATTCCACACCCGTGGACGTTCCCACCCACGCAGGCAGGTACACCCACCTATCTTGACAACGGGGGCTTTGAAAAGAAGTCAATAATCTTCACTGCTAAGTGCGCTGCAAGAACTCTGTGGAATAGTGAGTCTGCACTGCCTTATTCTTGCCAATACGCATCTATTACCTCTGCTATTTGAAATACCAAGACTATATTCTAAACTCAAATGTTGTTCAGTTTACTGCAAATGGTAAAATTCAGTGCTCAATCTCAATTTGCCAGCATAAATCTTTAAATCATGTTTTACTCACTTCTTTATTCCTTGATGCTCAACTGCATCCCAAAAGGCTTCTTCTAAGGAGATAAGAACTTCTGCTGCTGCTGCTTTATCACCATCAGCCAATTTTGTTAACTTTTTAACTGTTTAAAAGAACGTATTACTATTTCGGAGATGCTATTTGGGATTAGAGCAAGGGTAGTATTTTCAAAAGAACCAGAATCAATAAGCAGAACAAATCCTGTTAATGCAAATGTTTCAATATCTATGCCGAGTCTGGCACCAATATGGTTACATGATTTTTGAAAAAGAATTTCAACTTTCAAATCACAAAACCTTTTTTTTAAAAGAAAAAGCTCTACCTATAGATTTAAATAATATATGCATTTTTAGAATGATTAGTAAGATATAAATAAATGCCCGTAGTTTCCTAGTTGTGGACCCATAGTTAGAAACTCAACTTTCTATTAAGTTATTCCTAGGAGAAATTTGATTTCCTTACAGCTTTGAACACCTGATTTCACTGCAGCTGTAAGACAATTTTCAACTACAAAAGAGAAAAGACATTTGGTAATGTCCCTTTGTTTAATCCTCTAGTTATATCGTTACAACATTAGGCTGAACCTTTCTAAATATTACACTGAGCTTTGGGCAGCTGCTCGACAGTGTCTATTAGATTTCCCTGCAATTCTGGCTGCATGTCATGTTACAGTCTTCCTGCCTTATTTGATATGCCAGGTTCAAAATGCACCTTCAAAACTAGTAAGGAGCAGGAATAAAAGAAGAGCAGAATTCTTAGCTCTTCCAAGGACAGGATGTTTTTACTGCATTCCTGAGATGTCAGGCACCATCTTCCAATCCATCTCTGCTTCTTTTCCCAATAAATACGTAGTACCCTATTTTAAAACAAACAAAAGACACTCTTACCCAAAGATTCTCTTATTTGATTGTGCTGAGATTCTTCATTTCTAGTTCTGTAACTGAAAATTATGTTTGCGACTTTAATATCGACCCTGAGTTTGAGGCTGTCGAGACCAAGCAATTCTAGAAAGCACACACAGGCTGCTCCTACTGAAGGGATGCTGAAGAAGGAAAGAGCTAAAACATAGGCTTCATTTCCTGCTTGCTGAATCCTGAAACAAAAAGAACACCAGTTAACACATATGATTGTTAACTAATTTTCAAACACTAATATTCCCCATGTAAACCAGTACCTAAAAGGTTTACTAAACTCACAGACTTTCTTAGCATGAAGATATTTACAACCCAACAGTTCGATATTTATAAAAAAATGTAGGAATGAGAATAAAGCCTCACACACGACAAGCACAGAGTCTGCCATTTCATAAACTAAAAAAAAACTAAAGCCAATGCATTTTATACTGTAATTAATAAAAAGCACCTGTCAGAGTGTTAGTGCAAAAAGTCCCACTGCACAGTTTACAACCCTAGCACTGCAGCACCGAGGGCCTGAAACAGATCTGCGGGTTGCAGGAAGGGAAAAAGGTACCCTAAAGGCTTCTACAGTGGCTGGTTCTCTGGTTAGCCGCAGTTTTCCAGAGTACTAACGGGAAGAATTATGCATGCTTCACTGTCTTTTAAACCATTCAGTGCTTCAGTCTACAATAAGGAATGTTTTCCTTTTTGCCCAAATCAGCTGTTTACACAAGAGAGACTGATTTGTATAGAAATTATGAAAAGAAACATACAGTGACTCATACACAAACAAGATATTCTAGTGATTTTTCTGATGTAACTCCTACTCATTTTGAATATACTTAATAGTAAATTTTAATATATTCAAGCGAGATGTGTAATTTGACCATATCTTTTTGAACATGATTTTGAAGCTTCAGCCCGAAAATTTAATTCCTTCAATCTCCAGTACATTATTTGTCTCATTAATTGAACTAAAGACGTGTCATCCTTAGGAAATGTGAAAGGAAAGGGGCATCTTTTTTCTACAAAGTGATCTAGAGGTTCAGGTCCCTAGAAGAAAAGCCTACCTGTGTTTGATATGACCGCAACATTTTTCATTCCTTGCTTTCATTGTGTAGATTTTATTTAGGTAATTCAAAGTAAGGATCACCTTCTTTTAGGTGGTATTTGATTTTCAGCCTACTCGATAGACTGAACAGACTCCTAGGACACCTACAATTTCAAGTGATGCCAGTGCACACCACTTGCTTGCTGTTGGGGAGGATTAATGTTACTCCATGTGCTAGATTATAACTTCAAAAGAACTACGCGACTGTCATTTTTGAGAAGACTTACAACTGTTTGGGGGATTTGCTCTTTACTAACTGCTGGACCAAAAATGTACCAAAAGCAAATGATGGACGTCCATGGTGCAAATAGTACAAAAAATCCAATCGTTCCATTACAGCATATTTGTTCACCAGTTCAGGGGATGAAAAATGAGGAAAGTCACTTGATGCATCTAGAAAGAATATCACCATTATTATGAGCTGATAAACAGTTGAATTAATCATAGAAAATGGCTTTCAGCTACAAAACATGAGATGACAATCAAATACCTCTCCTCTTCTAATTCAAATCTCAGCATACCCAAACCCCACTGAAATTTCAATTCTCATTGTATAATCAGAACTCTAGATCACTTCTTAGGCCCTCAACTTGCTTTTAAAAGAAAATACTGCTTTTCTATCTCATAACACATTTAGAAAAAATTCTGTCTGTGAAGAGCTTAATGGAGAAAGGTAATCTACCTAGGGTTTAGTTTCAAAACAAAATTTTAGTAAATTACACTGGGGTTTTTTTGTAAAAGAAATGGCCTTTTAAAATAAGTTTATTTGCCAAATCATTCCACTGGAAGGTATTTCATCAGAGGTGCTCAGGCTAAAAAAGCATATCAAACTTGAAAGTAACATACCTGATACAGCAAGAGTATTTGTTGACTGCCAGCCAAATAATTTAGTGGGATCAAAGGGCACCAATGACTGAAAGATCAGAAACAAAATATAATGAGACAGCTTAAGATTTTCACATCAGACCAGAATATAGAATGTTTTAGGGAGCTATAGTAGCAGACAATCAGGAATGGCCTGTGCTGCCATCATGCAGTGGTATATTTTGTGCAGTTCTCTCTCAAAGGCACACATTTATCTACTTGTAGGATCAGAACGCAAGCAAGTGCAAGGAAAAGCTTTGACTTTCATCTCAGGAAAGAGGGACAGAATGTACTTAAGCGTTCTACTAAACTGTGATCTTAGCAAAGTTAACACTTTCCTAATAATGAATAATCCTTAGCGTTTCTTCCACCTTTCAGTTTATCTCACACCACAGATCTGAAGTAAAAGGCGTTTGCCCAGAAGTGTGTCATGCCATTCCACGAGACGCTATCTTTTCATTCTAAATTTCAATTTCCCTTAGACAATTAAAAACATTTTAATTTTTGTAATACTAAACAACCTGCTCACTGAACACTGCAAGAGTATCACATCTCTGACATTCCAGAACTGCTGAAGTTAAACGCTGTCAATGTCTTTACATGTCTGGGGGTATGGGGGGAAGCCAGACTCACAGTATTTAGATACCATTTTAAAAACCTGTTCAGCATGAAGCAATAAACTTCAGCTCCAAATGAAGGAATCCAAGGAAATAACATATGGTCCCCACCCTCCAGGCTTTAGCTGAAAACAAGCTTCTCTTAGTTTACTTTTGTTCTGCCAAAAAGCAGTTTGTGTACCTGAACAAGATGGTAGAGAGAGATGTCAGGTGGCAAAATTCCATGAGAAGTACACGGGGGAAAGAGAGCAGCTTTGAGTTTGGGGTAAGGAGTCAATGCCATTTTTAAGAGCTGAGGATCAACTTTCTTTAGAGGTTTTTCCACATCTTCATTCTGAAGAACCTACATTGCAAGGAAGCAAAATTACGTCATTAGGAAGCAGCAGCTGCGTTAAGATAACAAAACAATCTTTCAATGTGTCAAACAAACTACTTCATGGGAATTTGACACATGGCGGCAACACAGAAAGTATCGGTTTTTTCCTGGAAAATCCTTTTAGTTTATATTAGACATATCTTCAACAGTACTGGATGTTTTAGGTTATTGTGCTATGTATCAAAAAGCTATCTGAATTGATAAATTCTGTTCCAACATGTGGTTCACTGAGCATTTTTCTTTTGAAAGTAGAATCATTGATAATGTGCTTTTTGATCTCTACAGCACAATGCAACTGGTTTACACAGTGTAATCAGTAAACTGATGGTTTTGGTATCTGTCTAGAAGATTTTCAGCCTTTAAAAATAAAAATCTGGAAGCTGCATAACAGCTGTAGAGCTCCAAGAGAAGAGTGGTCCAGTTCCCCATTGCTTCATTTACTTAAAAACTACAAATGACCACAAAAGGGGATAGTCGTCTAACAAACACAGGAACACCAGTTTAAAAGTTTTTTGAAAATATTTTTGCAGACTAAAACTATTTGAGGAACACAAGTGTCTATAAACACTCTGTCCTGGTTTCAGCTGAGAGGGTTAATTTTCTTCATAGTAGCTAGCACAGGGCTATGTTTTGGATTTGTGCTGGGAACAGCGTTGATAATATAGAGATGTTTTTGTTCTATGGACCTGTGGTTGAGCAGTGCTTACACAGAGCCAAGGCCTTTGCTGCTTCTCGCACTGCCCTGCCAGCGGGATGGCTGGGGGTGCACAAGAAGTTGGGAGGAGACACAGAGAGGACAGGTGACCCAAACTGACCAAAGGGATATTCCATACCATATGATGTCATGCTCAGTTTATAAGGAGCTTGGGGGAAGAGGGAGAGGGGGGGCGGCAGCGTTCAGAGTGATGGCGTTTGTCTTCCCAAGTAAACATGTGACAGAGCCCTGCTTTCCTGGAGATGGCTGAACACCTGCCTGCCCATGGGAAGTGGTGAATGAATTCCTTGCTTTGCTTTGCTTGTGCGCGCGGCTTTTGCTTTACCTATTAAACTGTCTTTATCTCAACCCACGAGTTTTCTCACTTTAACTTTTCCAATTGTCTCCCCCATCCCGAGGCGGGGGGGGGAGCAAGCAGCTGCGTGGTGCTCAGCTGCCAGCCGGGATAAAACCACGACACACTCTCAGCTGTAACTGCTATGAAGGAGTTAAATACTCCAACTCACAGCCACTGTGCCTTGCTATTGCTAAACCATGTAACCTCAAAGCGCTCTACTCGCTTCAGTTGGTCAACACTGAAACACACAACACTGAAACCAGATTTTTATGAGAGGGAATTAAATGATGGCATTAGTATATTTATTTTTATTAACCTATTCCTTTGAGTTTTCAAGACCACATGAGAACTTCTCCGAAAGCTTAGCAATAATTCATTGCACACAGTACCTGATCGATACCGCCAGGTGCATACATCGTAGTAGCAAGTGCTAATAGTGTACGTCCTTCCAGTAGCATGCTACTCACGCTGGCTTGATTACTAGGAATCAAGATCTGAGCATTTGCTAGACTAGCCTGAAAAATCATCTTTGGATCTTAAAAAAAACAGAAGTGAGATTTAATTTCATGCAAAACCAATATTAAATCATTAAATGATGCATTAAAATTGTTCTACAACTATGAAAAATTGAATTGAAAAATTGAGTTGAATTTTCTATTTTTTGTTGTTAATAGAGATTTTTCTGAATTTACTTATAAATACAGATAAGCTGTTCTAAATTTTACCAAGCTTTCCCCGATTTCAAACCACAGTTTTACCTACACAGATTGATTTGGATTGAGTCCCACAGTCTAGCATTGTATTGGTTCAATTCTTTATACTATACTGATCACACTTTCTGAAAAAGCTTCACTTGGGCTTATTTTTAACATTTGTTAACATGTGACTACAAAAGATGAAATGTTTTTTTAAAAATGTGAATTAAGGGCACAAATTCTACTGATTTTTAGTGCAATAACAACAACAAAAAAAAGCAAACACATTAGCCAAGGGGCAGAGAAGTCAAAATGCACCACAAGAACTATGGGAAGCTTTAATTTTAATTATATATGCATTTTCTTATGAATTCTCCTTCTTTTCAACCTGTTGGGAATATAATCAAATTGGAGGTAATGATGATCATACACAAAATATTTCTCACATATCTACAGCCTCCAAATGTTTGTGTACAGTTTAAGTAGGAATTATACTCCACATTTTAGACACGAGGAACTGATGCATTTGTAAGTGATTTGCCATGGTCAAAAAAAAGCAGCAGAGCAGAAGATTTAAAGCCAGCTGTGCCAAGTACTCAGCTAGCAGCATCCACGTCCAACCACCTCTCGAGCAAGGCCAGACTCTTACCTCGTGGGTTACTGGCAACCCCCCGACACTGAACAAGGAACTCAAACCAGGGATGTGCTTCATGCAATTCCTTGTTGTCCAAAATAGCACAATTTGAAGGAGTTAAACTGGAAAGAAGATGAGCAGCAGCGGTGAAAATACAGTATTTGTAACCATCCTCTGCCCCAACATCACATTGCATTGAAAAGTAAGAGCATCTGACTTGGTGTTACAGTGACTTATTTCATCCATTCTTATGAAAGAGGCAAATCACATCTCCCTTCGCTACAAGACGTACAGCTTTAGATGATACAGCAACTCTGACAGTTCCCTTCTTCAAGATTGTGTTTCTGTGTTTGCTTGCTTGCTTCCCTAAATCAAAGTCATAGTTTCCAGACCTGACAATCCAAACACTTTCCAAAGGGACCTGATTCACAAACACCACTCTGCATAGTCTAAATATTTTATGCAAACTAAAACTGATTATACAAACAAACAAAACAAACCAAAACAAAAATATTTGTTGGCTTTTCTCTGGTCTATTTTTACCTTCTTAATAATTACACTAAGAGTTACATCTAAGAAACTTGAATTGCAAAGCATTCAGTAAGTGGGAAGTATTCATACAGTTCCAATACCTAATGTTTCTTTCTCCTTCAAAACCCAACTAATCCTAATTTAGATGGAAACTAGCAATTTCTTTATCTGTGACTGTATCAAGAATGAACTCATACTTGTGCTCAAGTGAGAGTTTCTGAAGAACAAGCTGGTTTGGCTCATTTAAGATTGTATTGCTTATTATACAACTACAATCATTGCCTCTGATGACTGACACACAAACTAATCTTGACAAGACAACCTGCAGAAAGCTTCAAAATACAGCATGAAACCTAACACACTGCCCCACAGGTTTTCATTAAATGACACTGTTGTGACCCAAGTAGTCTTTCTCACCAAACAGCAAGGGCCATGGAAAACTCTTACTGCCAACTATTAAAACTGTGTTTCATTATTTAAATCCGCACAAGATCTGAGCGATGAAAAACATTCATACCTGTAATAGTCTAAGTAAGTGTATAACAGATACTGCAAATTATGTTCTAAACAGTGAAGGACAAAACGAGCATGGAAGTCCAAACCACTTGCAGCACTGTATTTTGGAACAGGATGAGGATTTTGCAGTACACCCCCAAGGTAAGATAGTCTTTGGAGCAGAAGTTCAAAATCTTCCAACTCAGAAGAGACAAAAATTCCATTTCTATCAGAAAAGAGAAAAACCATACACACTGATTAAATAGTTATCTCTTTCAGAAGTTCTGAAGGGTGTTTTCAGTTCAAAATTATAAAGCAGATCTTTCCTTCTAGGGTGTTCCTTCACTACCGAGGCAAACAAAAAATGCAAAATACATTTGACACTGCTCAAACAATATTGCGGTTACTCCAGTTCACTGCAGAGAATGAGGCATGAGGAGTGCAACGCTATGCGTTTAGAATTTTCTACCTTGCATCAAAATGGGCATGGGAAATATAATAACTATGAAAGTTCAAAGGGCTCATAGAGGATTTCTGTTGCTCTCATGTTTCTTACTGTTTTCAGATAAGGGAGAGTGCAAGTACAAGACTAAAATTAGATTTATTAATGGATTTGTGCTGTTTCAAAAAAGGGCACTAAATAAAATATAAAAATTAGTATGTATCCAATATTTTGTTAACATGTACTTCTGTAACTATCTGATTTTGGCTTCACCTAAGATAGAAAGTCAGTATAATGCATGAAGGGCACGTACCTAGCCAGCTTGTTTAATATATCGTTTCTCATATAGCGACTACATAACATGTTTCCATCAATAACGTCCGGAGTAAGAGGGGGCCAGTTAGCTTCTCCACACAAAGTCTGGTTGGGCTCGGAGTCTTCAATCCATGAACAAATATTAAGCCAATCATGCTGGGCTGTCAGGTGCATCCAAAGAACTTCAGGATTACATCCCTGGAGCTCTGTGTTTCAAAAAGGAAAACTGATGAAACCAGCACAAACAAACACGACTTAGGGAAATACTGGCATTTCTTTATACATGTACGTATTTTTAATGAATGGTTGCAAATATGATGTTGAGATAAAGTACACTGTTACAGCCTGCTAGAACTTTATGTTGGAAAAGCTAAATATAATACTACAGTGTAATAAGCTTTACAGAACGTAGCAGAGTACGACATCTACAACAAGTGGCCATGCATCAGACAAGTCCCTTTCAGCTAGTTCCAAATTTTTTTCTACAGGAAGAACACAGATCCCTGCCAGAATGCAATAGGATGAAAAGACACTGTTTATCCATTTTTACTGACAAAAAATTAGTGACCTGCTGTGGTAGCACATAGTTTTAGTTCTATCAATGTCACTCCTACGCAACTGCAGTATACTACGTCAAAGACAGATTTTGAATTCACCATTTCTTTTAAGTCCGTAGTACCAGAATACTTGCCTTGGCGTGGTTTTCTGGGGAGAAGAATCATTTCCTGAATAAGCTCATCCCACCACTGAGCCCAGTTAAACATCACTCTGACTCTCCTACTGTGAACCCGATGCCTATCACAACGCAGCACCGAGTCCAAGACAGCTGTGTGTCTGGAAAAGTCTTGTTCTTTTCTCCAGGTCTTGAGACTGCAATGGAGTGTTGGATTAGGGCGTTCCCTAGTACTCTTTTAAAAACAGTCCACAATCTAACAAATAGAAGATGGTGAAAGGATCAACAAACTTTGCTAGACCATTTTAAAGAGAGTTCTGGAAGTGGCAAAGGGACTTACTTCAGCAAAAAGTCTGAGAGTGCATGTGAGAGCAATGGGCAAAGAATTAACTCACTTTTCCAAAACTGACGTAGCAAATGGTAAGTATCATAACGTTTTTAAAATTATTTAACTGTAAAATGATTCTTCTAGGTTACATTAGTTTGCTATATTATGGATATCGTATATCAAAAATAGAGCAAACATTCCATCTGAATGTTTCATTTGATCAATAATTCTAATAATAGCCTTTATTATTAAAAATATTTCATTTATGGTGATCATGACACAAACAGAAGAACTCTGATACACTGACAATGGTACATCATGACTTAGTCTGGAAAGAACATGACAGCAATTGCTAGATTAACGATAGAAGTAATCAGTCCCCACACTGACCCTTATTTCTGCAAATGAAGACCAGTGTGAAATTAATGAGACTACAGAAGACCATATTTGTTAGTGCGGTAAATCATAAGTAATGTAGAAGCCAGTATATTTTAAATCCTATTAACGTTATTAATTAGTAATTAAAACTGATAACCCACATTACCTGGCAAGAGATTGAATCTCTTTATTTTCCTGGAAGGATTCCGAGTAAAAGCTTTCAACCTGATGCACAAAGTCTATCATTTTCTTCTCTTTTTCAGAAAAATAATTTTCTTCTTGTAAAACTTTCACCTGTAATTCAAATTAAAGTATTACCTCCAATTACAATTTTTATCTAATTATAATATATTTCAGTTGTAAATGATCCTGCAAGTGTAAAGAGTTAACTAACTGTAGGAAAAAATGCTGGAAGCATTGAGGTCAGTACACTTAAATCTCAAGAGGGCCAAGACTTCATACTGTGTGCAAGCAGATGAGAGAGAACTAGATCAGAGCCAGAACAAAGAAATGACATTTAAATCGATTTTTACGTTAACTGCAAATACAAAAGAACATAGGCATGCCAATGACATCTTTCAGCAACTACATGGCAAGGACACAGGGACAAAACCTGTTTGTTCCCATTCTGAACGTCTGTTCAATACAACGCTTCCTCTCAGCATAAATGCACATCAGACTTCAGACCTGAGAACACCAGCTAGACAAAAAACGCCTTTTCTACACTTACCAACAAATCTCGCACATGTTTATCAACTGTGTAGAAACATATCTTATGCAACTCCTCCTTCACATCAAAGCCCTAACGAGAAAGAAGACACTTATTGTATGCAAACTGTACAAATGCAGCTGTACATTGACAGAATAAATGCACCTGCTTCTTTCCAAAGCACACAACCTTTTACATGCATCTTGTGGTGTTCCCTTCACCTGTTACTAGAGATGTCATAATAACCCAGTGATCTGCACGATGTCTCCAGCATGTCTGGATATAAAATGTGCACCCCTTAATACCTGACATGCCAGAATCCCCTTTACACTTTGCTGATCATTACCTCAGTCAATACACCTTCATAAATAGGCTACCTCTGCATTCTGAAGGTACAGTAGTAATCAAAGCAGTTCTTTAAAACAAGTTAATTTCCACTGTAATACATGTATCTGGTACAATCAATGCATCCATAAGACACCTAAGTGCTACCCACACTCTTAGCATTCATTTATTTCGTTAGTCACGAAGAAGTGCTAAGAACTACCAGCATGCTTACTGAACACTTCTCACCATATTTCTTAAAAGTTCTGAGGCCTCTCTGGTGTTGTTCTTCAGAAGACGGTCGTAGACCAGATTCAAACCTATCTGAATAAACTCTTGAAGATTCTGAGCAGGATGCTGATGCATTCGGAAGAAGGTCTGGGCCTCTGGCATTTTGTTGCTTAAGATGGCATCAGCAATGACTTCCTAAAACAGGGAAAAAATGGAATAAATTGATCCCATTAATCTTCAGTGTTACTATCTTTACGATCCCTATATTGATTTTTTCCCAATAGTTTAAAGATATTTCCACATCAATAATTTCCTTAAATATATTCAATAAGAATAGTAAAAAACGGATTACTCATTTTTACCTCTGGTGTCAGTTTTTCCCACGTGTGGCTTTCTTCCAGTGCAGGTAGGTCTTCATCAAGATCACTTCCTGTGTATACTGTATTTACTTGCGGTCGAGGATATTTTCTCAGAAATTTTCTAAGTCTTATAATGTAATCAGTTAAAATATCTGCACTCTTCTGCAGGAATTCATCAGGTTCTGTCAAGAGCATCCAAGATATCAGTTAACCAGAAATGAACAACACAGCAGTTTTAACGCTTAGCGATGTTGAATGTATTCTCCTGACTAGCAAACAGAACACACCTCAGAGTGTTCACACCAGCTCTGCACTGTAGTTTGACCTGTACAGGTACTGACACCATCCATCACGATCAGCATATTGTCAGGGTACAGTCACAACCCTACCAGTGCTCCCGAGGTTCCCTGTCCTCACTGATGTGTGTTCCCTTCAGGGACAAGTAAATGAGAACTGACATTTTCCATTAATCCAACCAATTATCAGTCAGGTAAGTCCCATTGAAAATGCAGGGACATTAAAACGTAACATTCATGTAGTAAGAAACAAAGACTACTCAGACTTCATATAGAAAAAACAAAGACTTAATGTAGAAAAAAAAATGAATAACAGTCAATGGTCTGCACCTTTTACTATTGGAAGAAATCAGTTCCACTTTTACATGTGTAACATGTTGGTCCACAGACTGAAAAGCACCACTGAGACAGCAAGGCAACACACTGTACGTTGGGACATGTCATCCCACTCTCTGTAGCGTTCTCTAGCACGACAAAACTGTCCTCTGGCATTCTGTGATTTTATTACTTCGCTAGTATACCAGCTGTTACTCTCTCCTTGTAGCTTTTAGGCTGCATTTCAAAGAGCAACATCTCGGCAACGGTGCCACCGTAAGCAATCACACGCTGCCGCATCCAGCCTGCAACCCTCACCAGACGCTGCGTCTTGCTTCTGTGCCACCCCACAGGCTATAACAGGATGTGTGGCTGTGTTGCCACACAGTAAATCAGACCGGGGAGTGCTCCAGATAAAAAAAAATAACCTGGTAGGCTATTTTTTCAGCTGCATCGGCTTCTTAAACTAGTCTATTCCATTCCACAGCCATATAAATATTTGTGCCAGAATATTGCAAGTGGCAGCACTGAGAAAAGAACGAGCAGCTGAGGGCTAAACTCAAGCCATTTAACGGCACTGCCATCAAGTATCCAGCAGCAGCCAGGAAGCCTCCTTCTGCCATTCTTATGCATCTCAATCCGACCCTGTTGACAGTATCCTGTCTGATCCGAGAGCCAGATAACTGCTGTTTGGGCTAACACAGATACTGTATTCAGATTCATTTCTCATGTTTCCCCTTAACTAACGTCTCTCCTTCACTTAGCTCTAGCACATTTTTTTGTTAATTCTAGGTAAATTTAGGCTTTTAATTTAAAAAAATAGTTGCTCTTGCTTACCTAAACAATGACACATTACTTTACTACACGATTCAAAATTAGTAATCTTACCCTCTGTGTGCACAAAAACATCTTCCAGTTGCTTGCTAAGGAAAGTCAATGTGAGGTTTAGCAGCTGCTCAGAAAAGTGTTTACTGTGCGGCTCCATATCATTTTCTTTGATCGCTGAGCAAAGCAAGTTTAACGCTGGTCTCAGCTCTTCCAAATCTGCAATATTTACATAAAGAGTTAAAACATCTGCTCTCTACCATATGACTGATCACATAAATTTAAAATTCAACTTAAAAATCATAAAGGTATGCTACAAAAATCTTCTAAAATGTGTCAAGCGTTATATGTAACAAGCTTTGCCTTCACATCAAAATGCTTATCATGCATATATCAACATCAGAACAAAACAAAACCCCTGCACATTATGCACCATTTCTCTCTTATTTTCCAGAAGTAGAGAAGTTGCAATATAGCATCATCCAAACATACAAGAGCATGGGCAATTCCATCTGTTTTTACAAATGCATAGCCATAAATAGAAAGGCAATTAAATGTAAACCTCCGTGTAGCTAAATGTATTTTACTCACTTTTCAGGTAAGCCTGGGATGCACTGTCAGAAGCCTGTTCAGGTCCACAGCAGGTTGCAGACAGATTGAAAAGACTTTCTTTGCTTTTTAAAAATAAGTCTACCGTGTCCAGTTGACGATTTTCCAAACCTGCCTAGACAAACATGCAGCAGAACAATTATGCACGTATTCTAAAAATACATATATTGTACGCTTACTGCTAGTATTTTTAGGTCATACTCAGTGACAAAGTTTACACGCAGAAAAAAAGAAGTTTAAAGTATGTGTGCAACACCTGTAGCCTGAAATAACAAGGTGACCTGTTCAGTACCTGCCACGCTCCTTTAGTAGGCTTTGCAGAAACCTTGCCCCGTATCTTCAGAGACAAAATGTTAATTCAGCAATTTATTACAGAGTTTGATCTGGGATATAAAGTAAGTACCATGAGAATCAGGACTTTGACCAAGCTTATGGCAACTGAAAATTGCTGTGATTCTCCCCTCCATCAATTCACTTTCCATCACATCCTTCGAATAAACCCCAAGAACCCTACCCCACGTCTTCATCTAAGCTCCCCCCTCCAAACACGACAGAAAACACAGACTGGCAGTGTACCGAACGATGGTGTGGACAGGCTGTTAGAGTCGCAGGCCTCTGGAACAAGAGTTTTATTTAAACAAGGATTTCCGTCATCTGAAAGTAGAACTAGAGCACTGGAAAACTGCAGAGACACAACATTTGTTTTGTGGTCTGGTACATTACAAATATTTTATCACCTATTGTTAAGGGATATCAAGCAACTAAGCTTTAAGTTCTCCTCTTGGCTTCGAGAAGTGCTATGATAAAAACAAAAATCTAGTTCCAAGGATTTGCCTTAACATCTGACATTTTGCAAGAGGACAAAAACTGATGCAGAAATTGGCAAAAATGCTTTTGGGTCCAGTTAAGAGGGAGTTTTGAGCACTGCTTAGTTTAAAAAAAATTTTTTTTTTTCACGTGCATTAACTTTGTTGCTGTATTTCTTCTTCTGGGTTACTCAGGGTTTTTACTGTTCATTTAATAACTAAACCACTACTTTTTGCCCCTAGATTACTGAGGTATACTCTTAATTGTGTACTCTTAGTCTTAACACTAACATTGCTGAACTGCATTCATTACTTTAAAGAAGTATTTTTGTTATCTGTAAGACATGAAACGGATTTCTTTACCTCTAGCGCGTGTATGGGAATTGAACATCGTTCCCATCCATTGAGATGACAAACAGAATCTACAACTCCAGCGCTGCCATAGATCATCAATCTATTCAAAAACTCTTCTTGAGTTAAACCAAAGAGAACTAAGGAGAGACCATGCTCTAAATAAAAGAATCAAACCATAATTAAAAATATATAAGCAAGTTGCGACACAGCAACATTTCTATCTACTGCCTCTCCTCCAAAATAATGACACAAAAGGCTCCAGTTGGATTTCACCTCAGCAAGAACGCATTAGAAATTAGCCAACAGCAGCCAGGCAGACAGGAAAGAAGAGCACTACAAAAAGACAACAAAGCTTTTATCAGAACAAATGTATCAAACCCCTCACCTGTCAGAAGCAGACATAATGGCACCTCTTCACTGCAATCCACATAAACGCTGTTTTTGCCAAAGTGGTGATACGTCACATCTTGCGACTCAAAATCCCAGAGAGCAAGAATCAATCCTTTGACATCTGTTATTACTACAAACAGTGCTTTAACTCCAGTTACCAATTTACACTCCAGTTTCACCACTTCTTGGGGTGCTTCTCTGGGGATTCGTTTCCATTGCTGTCTTGCATCACTGAGGTTTGTACCATTGCTTTGCACTGGTTTGGAAGGAACCCACGTAACAGCCCGTGGAACAAATGCCACCATCCTCTCAGAATTTTCATAGATTTCAGGATCATGATCTTCAAGATGGGTAAAAAACTGATACCAAGGTAAATTCAAATCATTCACCAAATTCAGAGAACCTGGTCCTCTTCTCCTTACTGTATCAGATAGTGAGGATAAGTGTGCCGTCCAGGACCTGGGGTGAAGAATGAAGCTACCTATAACACCAGCTATTACTCCAAGAACAATGCAGATAAATAAATTTTCAAAGTTTCCTCAGTTAAATAATATGCATTTTAAGCTTATAGATTCCATCCAGCATCTTGCATTTTAACCTTAACATGTCCTGTTTATTTCTGTTTAAATACAACAGCCAAGCTGAATGATCACAGCTGCATTAGCTGACAACATCCATGAAGCTGAGCATTTTTAGTAGAAAATTTTCTTCTCCTTACAGAAAATGCCCCCACCAATTAAAAAGAATGAAATTAATTCCAGAATTGAGTATTTATTACATTTACATCAAGTTAAAATTAACATATTCTACTAGTATTAATACCTCTAATACTAAGGGTCACAACATGGTTAAAATGTTGGACACGAACAGAAAATATTTTTGTTCACATGCACTCATCTGTGCTAAACACACAACAAACTGCAAAGTACTTGGAATACAAAAATCTATCAACACTGGTTCAAACTAAAGGTAACACCCTAAACAGTAATTACTGTTTGGAAGATGTTCGATGACACATGCCAAGTTGTCTTGGCCCATCTCCTAACACCATCCTAACATTCAAAAGATTTAAAGCAGGATGAGCTGATTTCACTTGCTACAACTACAATTTAAAAAAAAATCAGCAGTTTTATTAATCAATGATCTAAAGGAGGCAAAATCCAGCCTGTTTTAGAAAATATTTTCATTATGTACCTGTCTGTGCGGAAAGGCAATGACAAAAGCTCCATGCTATAGTCAGAACTAGCAAGGTCATCCTCATCAAGTCTTTCAGGAGGCTTCACCGGAAGATTTTCAGAATCTCTCTTACAGAGCAAATGCCCAGGGAACCGTCTGTAAATAAAGAAATATTAAATTTCACCTCCCTCGTAGAGATGATTTGAGATTTTTTCCTTCATGTCTCAAATGAAATTTGGGAAAATGGGAGCTATCAGAGAAGCAGTTTTCTCTCAGATTAGCAACCTCCACAAAAACGTATCCAGATAATCCATCAAAACCTGATGCTATTTCCTTTAAGGTGGACAACACCTCTCAATTACAACCTAGTCCTAATGTATCAAGCAGAATCAGTAAAGCTGTGTCAGAACAGGTTAACAATCCCATACTCTATAGTATTTCTAAAAGGTGCCACAACCACCACTGACACACGTTGACAGCACGTACCCCGACTTTCCTAGAAGAGGTATAAAATCCAATACAAAGTTTTTCTATTTGCTAAAGTGACAGAGCATAAATTGGAGCAAATATTAACGGGCAATTTTTAAACAAATACAAAATTTCGGCTCTACCACGGAATCAGAACTCAAAATAAAAAGCTGACAGCGTTTCAACTGTTACAGGACCTAGATTAGGTGCTTTTTAATGTCAGTTGTACCCAAACTTTGCTTTAAGAATTCTGCTGCAAACGTACCTGAAGTACATGTTTAGATCCAGAGAGATGGCGTCGTTGGAAGAACTGACGATCACAGCAACACTGAGATCATGCGACACTTTCACCGCAGTGAGTGGCGATGGGATGACTGGACTCCTGTCCTCGTCCTGTACGTCTCCCTGGCACAGTGCTATGTTGACGTTTGCTAGATTTGCACCATCCAAAGAGTCAAACACGTCTTTAAACAGCATCAAAGAAAACATTAGACCTCATATCATCCAGCAAACAAGAAATTACATAGAAGAGGACGATGGTGAATGTCTGTTAACTTTGTGGTCCAAGCCAATCTCTGCACAACAAAACATTTAGAATTGTTTGGTTTACTAGAGCATTCTAAGCCCAGCTAGGATCAGAAGTGAATCGTGCTAGGTGCTGTACAAGCACGCAGCTTGTGCCACTTCAAAAGAATTAATTTATACTTAGAAGTGAACTGAGACAATGATATATTGACAGTTATATAATTAGAAGGAAAAAATGACCTGACTTTACTGCAGTTTTTACATACGTCAGAAAAAATTGACAAAGAATAGGTTAAAGTTGAACACTTGTCAAACAGTCTGCCAGGTCTGAGATCCTGTTCTTTAGAACACAGACAGCTATCCGTTTTCCAAGTTGTGATTCCCTGCATATCTCTAGATAATTTTGAAAGGCTCTAATTAAGAAAAGAAAGGCTAGTGACGGTAAATGAAAGCCTGTTACACACAGATCCATGTATCAAAACCAGTGTGAAACAGATTTCCAGTGGCATGTTGAGAAACTACATTTGATAGATGACCATGGCATTTTTTACTACAATAACTAGCACTTCGCTACACAACCCCTTTACTGACAGCCTCTTCAAAACAGATGCTTGAATAGCCTTCAAGAAATTTCTGCTTAACCCTGACAAAAAAGAAAAATTACTTTATTCCTCCAGATTATTTACGCTGAGAGCTAGTCTCCACTGCAAAGGATACAAATCCAGCCAGAACTATCTAACAGAAACAGAATCCCCCTGCAGAAGTGTGTATCTGTTATTCTTTCCAAAACTTGCGGAGGCATATCAAGGGTAAGGCAGTCACATGTCTCTATGGATGAGTCTCTTCCAGGAAAGGTAAGATGCACAACAATAAACTTGTTGAGCAGAAGTATGCATTTGTTGTTTTCAAAAGACAGTATCCTCAAAGAGAAAATTGAAGACAGACCTGTAAATTTAAAGATATTTTAGGATTATAGCAATCTGGTACTTTTGATTTGTAAACATAGCTCAAGAAAATTACAGCTCAAATTCATTGCCTCTGCTACCATCTTAGTAAGAGTTGAGACTGGGGAGTGGGGGTGGGTTGTTTCAAATCTCACATTCTATGTCAGGAGCACTAATTTTAGAAGTTTCCTAAAACAGTGCAGACTTTTTAAGTAGACAAAACTATAAGAACACACAAAAAAACCCCATCACAAAATAATATTTCAGTCAGCACTGAAAATAAAAGCCACTATCTTTGGAAATAAAAATACTTTAACAAGAGAGACTGTTTAAGAACATGTAAAACATCAAAGGACCACATTCTGCAAAGTCTGTGCATTCTAACTGAACATAACGTTTGCTAATCACAGAACATAAGGTTAAACACATAACTAGTCTTTGCAGGATTAGTGAGGAGCCCTATCTTTCCGTTTTCTTCCCATGGGTTCCAATATTAAAGGGAAAGTTTGAGATAGCAGGGTTGCATAAGTATGTTTTATTAAAGTTTATTTTTAACTTTGTATCATTCAAACACCTTACGCTAGAACAGTTTCATTCCCTCTAACAATGTCACCTTTGAATACAGAAACGTCACTATTATTTTTCAAGTTCATTAATGCTGCTATTGACCGCGTTAAATCAGTGTGGAAGTACTTGACACTTCCCTGGTGTCCAGTCCTACTGCCTCGATTTGTTTCACCAGGTGAAGCAGACTTAGGCCTACAACCATTTCAAATACAGAATACACATTGAAATTTACTCACTAATGTTTTTAACTTCAAGGAGCTTTTTAAGTGTATCTTCCTTAAAACAGTGCAGGGAAATCGGGTTGTATTTTCCATCTTCTATGGTGAATTCATAGACAAACAGTTCATGACTTTTACTAAGAGCCAGTATTTTTGTCTTGCCTGCTTGCAGATCATCTTCTGTATTGTCCCACATGAAGCTGAAGATACAACATTCAGTATGTTTATTGACCTTACTCTCTTTCCACATTTCATACATTGAACAGTTCTGGCTGTGTGCTAATGATGGGCAGTGTAATTTTAATCTTTTGCAGTAAAGATTCTGCCGCCACCCCCTCCCTCCCCAATACTGAAACATGTTTCATCACTGGCAGAGGCTGCAATGCAAGACAGCGCTTGAGGAATCCCTACTTCTTTTCCTCTCAAGAACAGAGGGGTTTCTATCCTTGTGTGTTTCTTTCCTTTAGTCATCGGTGTCATGTGAGGGACACTCTGCTTCAGGACTTCTTTTAGGAGGAGGAACACCAGCGCTGTCAGCTAGGGAGAAGCAGAGCATATTGCCCATTTCTGGATGTTTTGCCTCCCCGTTTCTCACGTGAGAAACTCTTGAGGTGTCTGTCTCCCAACCTGCTCTCGTACGGAGAGGGGCACAGGCAGAGGGAACAGCTACAAGGCCACTTGGGATGGTGTAGAGTGAGACACAAGACTAGAGCACCACAGCAGTGTTGGTATTGCTCGACACTGTAGACCTTTAGAAATGCAACGTAACTTTGGTTCTGACTCAGCATTAAAAGCATCTCATGTGATCACCGAATGTCTGCCCCTGTCCAGCAGACAAGGAAGCCAAGCTGTCAGGACACTCTGAAATTTTAAGCCAGCAACTCGACAAAACCAGGCAATTTTTCTTCCCTTTCCTTTTTTTCCTCTACTGTAATGAACACACCCACAACTACACAGATAAGTAGATATAAATCAACATCGCCTCCAGCAAAGGGATTTTAAGTTGAGGGCATGCTATTTCAAGGCAGGGTTTGGAAGTCCCCCTCAGTCTCCTGCAGCTTTCAAGGCCTGCCCTGGCCTGTGCAGGCCTGCTCCCTTTTGGGGAGCGCCCTCGGCCCCTGGGGTACACCCGGTGCCTCTCACCAAAGCAGAGTGACGCCGGGGGACCCCTCCCGGCCTCCCCTTCCCCTGCTCACCCCCTGCCACTTACTCAGCCC